TGGTATTATTCCGTCATGGTAAATTAAAGAACATTGTCATCTCAAAAAATATGTATTTATGCAGGTTGAATCAGTTGATAACTTCTTGCAATCCTTGGGTCTTGAGAAATATTCAATTACATTTCAGGCTGAAGAAGTATGTTAATTTATGAGTCAATTTTCAGTTTGAATGTTTTCCAATGATTTTTGTTTTCCAAGTGAGTTGTAACGAGTATAACAACTGCATATCGTGATTTGGCAGGTCGATATGACAGCCCTCATGCACATGACTGATGAAGACCTGAAAGCTTTGGGAATTCCAATGGTGAGTATAGTTTACATATTATCTCTTTAGCCTTGAGCTTTGTCTTGCATTTAGGTCGTCTGTCATTTTTGCTTTTTTGTCTTCCGTATGGATTAGAGCAAACATGATTGTTGAGTTTTTTTGCTCAGTTGAAAGATTTTCCATTCTATAACTATCATAGTTACCAACATCTCTCGAGCCTCTAAATGCACCGATCTTAGCTGGTAGTGGTTCTCAAATTCAGCCTTTTAAGTTTCTCGCCTAGCCCAAGCTTTATACGACAGTGGAGTAAAAAGTGGGGAGCAAGCTAACTCTTATATATGTCTGCTTCAAAGCTTGGCGGCCTTCTTGATGCATATGTCATTCTCAAAATGCCAAAGCAAATAGGCAATAGCCATGACACCTGCTTTGTAAATGTCTTATCATTTTGGCATGAGCTTAAGCTGAATCCAAAAGTTGATGCAGCCTTAATGTTTGTTTCAGGGTCCAAGAAAAAAGATACTTTTAGCAATGGAGTCGAAATCTGATGTGTAAGTGGGGACACAAGGCCATTTTTGGGCTTCCGTGGATAGTTGGGTGATGTCGGTTGCCTGGTCATCCCTTGTGCCAGCCACTTAATTTTTTTTTGCTCGACTCATGTGGTGCTGTTTGAGTGGCTTAAGTAGCCTGCGGAGAGCAATTGAAAGAGATGTATCATTGTAATTGAAATATGACTTATTGACGATCCAAGTCCTTTTAGGGTGACATTCTTGGTGTGTATACTAGAAGTTTGGCTTTAATTATAATCACATTTTTGGTTTTAGAATGAGAAGATCACATATGACCAGTGACTTGTGGAATTTAAATTTAAGTTTACAACAAGATAGAATTTAACAATCTATCATAACGGTTTCAGTGTAATTTTTTTTTTTTTTTTTTTTTTTTTTGGTCGTTAAATAAATTTTTATAGATCAAAATCATTTCTACATCGACCGTCTCACGGCAAACTAAAGCAAAGTGGGCGACCACAATCCGGTCTCTTACTTGCTAGTCAACATAAAATAAAAAGAGGCAAACCACACTCCATTTAAGGAGCCTAGGCCAAGTCATTTCCGAAGGCTTTTATCTCCATGTCGGCAAGTACATTTGGGTACAAAGCAAATATATTCCTATAGACATGGGTTTGAATTTTCCGAATAATGAGCTCCGGAGTTTGCACTTCATTTTCAAAAATCTTTCTATTACGAGCAATCCAAAGGAAGTATACCGTAGACGCGAGCCCGGCCTTTGTTGCTTTTGTTCTCCAACCGGAGCCTTGAGATTCCTTCTTAATCCACTTCAATGCACTCTTTAGAGTGGAGAGTTGTCGCCTCAATCCTAGCCAATGCCGAATGGCAAGCCACACTTGGGCCGAAAGGGGGCAAGTGAAAAAGAGATGATCGTTTGTCTCGGAAGCTTCCCCACAAAAGGCACAAGTAAGGTCAATATCAAGGAAGCCAATTCTATCTTTAGTTCAGAGCCTCCCGAGCGTAGCAAGCCAAAGAATGAAAGCGTGTTTGGGGGTATTGGCGGGCCCCCAAACCACACCCTTCCAAGGGACGGGCGTGTCTTGGGGTCGGAAGAACTCGTAGACGCATGAAGGCCCCTTGGACGAGGCTTGGAGTCCCAAAGGCAAAGAGTGGCCTCGGCGGCTTGCATGCTACCCAACTTTTCAACTATTAGGTTCCGAATGTCATAAAGGTTCTTGAAGAGAGGGGAATCGTTCTTGTGGATGGTCCATTGCCACACGGATTTTTGCTTTAGGTAAACATGATGAACCCAACGGTACCACAAGGTGTCTTTCTTGGCTTGAATATTCCATAGTGTTCGTGCTAGCAAGGTTTGGTTCCACGCTTTGAGGTCCCGAAGGCCTAGGCCTCCCTCCGAATGTGGGAGGGTGACGGTGTGCCAAGCCACCGACGCCATCTTTGAGCCCCAAAGGAAGCGACGGCATCGTTGGATGATAAACGAACGGACGGTCGACGGAAGAGGGAAGATAGACAACCAAAAGCATTCCACCCCTTGGAGGACCGATCTAATGAGCTCCACTCTTCCCGCATATGAGAGAGAGGGAGCATTCCATCCATTGATGTATTCCGTAATTTGATTTATGAGAGGATCAAATTGCCCAATTGTGACTCTTCCTGCCGTGAGTGGGATACCGAGGTACCGGAACGGCATAGACCCCGGCCGGAGATTAGTGTCCCGAAGAATCTCCGAATGCTCCATTTGGCCAACTCCCGCCATGTAGATGTTGGACTTTAGGACATTCATTTCTAAGCCCGATTTGGCTCCGAAGTCCCTCAAGGAATCCATTAAGATTTTAATAGAATATGGGTCACCCCTCGAAAGGAGCATTAAATCATCCGCAAAGGCTATGTGAGAGATTTTAAGAAACTTACATTTCGGGTGATAGTTGAAACCCGACCCGCTAGCCGTGCTCCGGTTCATGAGTCTCGAGAGATACTCCAAGCATATAACAAAGAGATAAGGCGAGAGCGGATCTCCTTGTCTCAACCCTTTGGCACCTTTGAAGTGGCCACAAAGCGAACCATTTATAGAGATTGAGTACGAAGTCGTGGTGACACACTCCATGATCCAATTAATAAAGGTTGTCGGAAAATCAAGTCCAAGAAGAACTTGCCTCAAGAAAGCCCAAGAGATAGAATCGAAAGCCTTACGAAGGTCTATCTTGATAGTGCACCTCGGGGAGATCCTCTTTCGCATGTATTGCCGGAGTAATTCTTGCATGAGGTGAATATTATCGGACATGTTCCTACCCCTCACAAATGCGGCTTGAGCTCCATCAATGATTGAGTCGAGAACGGAGCTAATGCGTTGAGCAATAATTTTTGAGCAAATTTTGTAAGTAGTGTTGCAACACGCTATCGGTCGGAAATCCGATACTTGGGATGCGTGGGGGCCCTTGCGGACCATAACTAAGGTAGTATGGTTCCATTGCTTGAGTAGGCGCCCATTTCTAAAGAATTCTTGCACGGCCAAGGTGAGATCTTCCCCAACTATGTCCCAACTTTTCCGAAAAAATGTTGAAGTGTACCCATCCGGGCCGGGGGCTTTGCCGCTTTCGATGCCATCAAGTGCGGCTTTGATTTCGTTTTCGGAAACCGGAGCAAGGAGGGCGTGATGGTGTTCATGAGAGAGAAGTGGGCCATGCCGGATGATCTCGGGATCAATATCATCGGTCGGAGTCTCGATACCAAGGAGTCTTTCGAAGTGGGAGACAAACTCCTTGGACACCTCATCGAGAGAAGTGGTCGAATTCCCATTTTCTTTCGATCTAGAGGCAATGAAATTCTTCTTGGCATTTCTTTTGACAAGGGCGTGGAAGAACCCGGTGCATTTGTCTCCTTTGATTTGGAATCGGCACTTCGCTTTTTGTTGGAAGAAGTGCTTCTCCGCTTTGGCTAGATTAATGGAATTGAGGCGGAGAACGGGTAAAGAAGCCTTTACCACCATGTCATCGGGGTTGTCGTGGAGCTTTTCTTGTGCTAACTTGAGTGCTAGTTTCGCGTTGTTGGCCCGGAGGGAGATTTGAGAAAAATACTCGGCATTGAGCTCGGAGAGCTCAGATTTCAAGGCTTTTAGGCGGCCGGAAAGTTTGAATTGATTCGTTCCCCGAATACGTAGGTTCCAAGCTTGTCGGACCCTCGGTTTGAATTCTTTGTGCTGGGCCCACATATCAAAGAATCGCCAAGGTGATCCCTTCCTCCTAGTGTGCTCAAATAAAAAGACAACACAAGGAGAGTGGTCGGAGATGCCCGGAGCAAGGAAGGAAGCTTGGCAATAAAGATCTTCTTGGAGCCAAATGTTGTCCACCATGGCTCGATCAAGTTTGGACCAAATGGTGTTATTCGTCCATGTGTGGAAGAAGCCGGTGGAAGGGGCATCCACAATGTTGTGAGTGTCACAAAATGCGCCGAAATCCATGATGTCCCGGTTGGAGACGGGCACCCCATTTATTCTTTCCCCCGGCCGGAGAATCGTATTAAAGTCTCCCATGAGTAGCCATGGTAAGTTCACTTGCGTCTTGGAGCTAGCAAGGTCCCGCCATAGTTGCTTGCGGTCGCCTCTACTATGGAGCCCATAGACAAAGCTAACAAAGAACTTGTAGTTGCTAACCTTGTTAATGAGCGTGGCCGAGATGGATTGGGTGAAGGTGGATTGAATCGATACCTCCACTTTGTCCGGATTCCAAAGAATGGCAATGCGGCCGTGCCTAGCGACTCCAAAATTTTCATAAAACAACCATCCCCGGAGACGGTTGTGCACAAAACGAGATAGACGATGGAGATCCGTCTTAGTCTCAATAAGTCCCAAAATATCGATATTATTCTTTCGAATGAGGTTAACCACCTCATCTTGCTTTAGGGGCGTATTGAAGCCCCTAATGTTCCAAGTGGCGATAATCATTGCTTGGAGGAGGGGGGTGGGCCCCCTTCTTCAATTGGATATTTTTTGCCGGCTCTCTTTTCATATGGATGATGCCTTTCATCTTCAAATATGATAACGGTCCCACTTGGATTGGTCCTCCGCCTTGCTTCGAGTTTTTGTTCTTCTTTGCCACCAATTGGAATAGTGGCTCCTCCACATTTAGTTGATTTGTAGGTTCGAGCTCGATGACCTCTTCAATCTCGCATTCTCTTTCACATAGAGACATTTTTCCTTCGACTTTCTCTAGATTAGTCCTCTCCCGGTTAGAAGCCACTTCAAGGTCCATTTTCCCCTCTTTGATCTTTATGGAAGTTGGTTGGCCATTAGAGGAGGATTCCGGAGTAATGTCAATCCCCTTGGAAGCGGATGGCTTTGTTGCCAATGGGGCTTGAGAGGGTTGACGCCCTTTGGTGGAGGTTTCCGGAACATTGTTGGTGATCTCCATTGGTGCTATCATCTCCTTCGGGTCTTTTGCCTCCACTCCCTTAGTGACTTGATGGTTTTTCTCCGGAGGTGCCTTTGAATTGTCCTTGCCCCGGATTGGTTTGGTTATTTGGTTCTTGGATTTATTCCCCTTGGTCTCTTCCGGGTTTATGTGGCATTTTTTCAAGGAGTGTCCAATTTGCTTGCAACTATGGCAAAAAGGAGGCACGTATTCATAAATTACCTCTTGGAAGAAGCTTTCCCCGTCATATGTTTCAACTTCGAGTTCATGTTGTAGCTCTAGGGAGACGTCTAGCTCAACAAGGACCCGAGCAAAGTTACATCTCCCATTTGACTCGGTGAGCTTGTCTGTTGAGATAGGCTTGCCAATATTCGAAGCAATTTTTCCTATGGCATTCGCATTCCAACATTCAAGGGGAAGGTAGGGAAGCTTCACCCAAACGGGCACAATTTTGGTATCATCATCACCGAACCGAAACCATTTGGGGAGGGTCTTCAACATTAGAGTTCTCCCGTAGATGGTATACGGGCCTCCTTCAAGTATTCTATCTCGGTCCTCCTTCGTTGTCAATTTGAACATAATCCACCCGTTGACGTCGGGGATATATTCGTATTTGTCT